CAAGGTCAGAGCTCTGCCACAGAACTTAAATTTGAGTTAAGGTTTCTGGGCTACATATCCCACTAATGCAAACCATAAAGAGCATTCAGTTAAGCAGCTAAGTCTTTCAACACCCCATCTACATTCTACTCAGCAGTTCTTTCATAATATCAACTACCTCCCTTCCACCACCCATAATTCATATGCTTCCTCTCTCTTCTTAAACAGCATGCAGCCTTAACTCTGGCCAGAAGTGTAATACATGAGTGCACTTGGTTATAATTATGTAATTGCTATGAAAAAAATTACTACAAAATTCAGATGATCCATTCACAAAACGTTATTAAGCATTGCAGAAAAACATCTCACAGCCACCATTTGCAATATAACATATCTAATTCACTTAGTTCTTCATCTGGTTTTGTACTGATCTATGCTGAACGTTGTTTATGAAAGTCTTCCACCAGCCCTCTATTATGGGGGCACTTGTGGCTCTATAATTAAGGTTGAATTGAGGGTTTTTTTGCACTTCGTGCAGGATTCAACTACTTGGTTATATATGAAAAATAGTCTTTTCCTGCAATACACCACTTTTTGTCCAGAGAATGAATTTTCTGAGGTTTTGTATGTGAATTAATTTGAATTAATTGTAAAAAAGGCATTTGAAGAAATCTAGTATTGTGTCAGAATTTTTGTTGCAGAATAGGTCACTCTTCAAATTTCCTGTGTAGTTAAAACTCATGGAAATCTTATGCACAGGTTAAATTTTGAAGAAATTTGTGTGTAAGATTAATAGTAATTCTTTGCTATTGATTCATAACTGAAAGTTTCTTTTCTAGAATGGTGTGACACAGATACCCTTTGCAAAGGATCCTCGGTTCTTTACAAACAGCTCTCACCTCAGACCTGACAAACTCACTCCACCAAACATGTCTTACTTTTTATGGATAAATATCCTTTAACATGTAAGATATCAGTAGAAAACTCATAACTTGTCAAAACTCATAATCATTGTGAGATGTATGTACAGATAATATTTAAGGGATAATGTGTTTATACTGAAAGTATGTTTTATGCAGTTGGAGTAGAAATTAGTAACCAGGAGGTAATGTGTCTTTATGATGACCCATTCAAGTGAAATGGAGCTGTTACCCCTCCCAGGTCAGTCGGTAACGAAGAAGTGAGGTTTTTACTCACGAAAGCTTATGCCCAACTAAATCTGTTAGTCTTTAAGGTGCCACCAGACTCCTTGTTGTTTTTGGTTCTATTGTTTACCCTTGTCACAGTCCATGGAAAACTATCAGAGA